AAGCTACTAAGTGTAACGACATCAAAGACAATTCCAAATTAATTACCAAAATAGCTATCTTTTCTGAAAAGTTTAAAAAAATACTACCAAAGATGAAAGGAAAGTTAAATATGTAAGGCAATAATGGCGCTGAGTCAATAATTTCACTAAGTTTGAGTCTGCTTAGTCCTAAAGAAGCCTGGCTACCTACGGGCACTCACCTTGCAATCTGTTCACCAGCACACAGACACCTTGAAGCGACTTGCTCCTTAAGAGGTTGACTGCTTTTCTTTACTGACATGAAAACATCCTCGAGTTCCCAAAGCATACTTCAGGAATCCGTCCACCACAGCGCTTCCGCGCCTACCCTCCAGCCTGGAGTGTGTGGCAAAAGGACAGGGACGTCCTTCAGGGCTGGTATCCGGGCTGCGCAGCCCCGCACACACACCGGCTGCTGCCATCTCCTCCCGCCCACCCGCATGGTCCCGTAGCTCGTCAGTCACTTGACCCCCCCCAACCGCACACACCTGCCAGGAGAGAGCAACCGCCCCCCCCCCCCAAGGGCCGAAGCCCACAAGGTCCCGTCCCACTCTGTCCGGCCCCACTCAGCTCACTCCTTCGCCTGCCACAGGCTCACCGGGATGCGCCTCCCGCCAGCGAAGCCTTGGCTAGCGCTGAGTGCACCGCCCCTTTGTGACGCGCAGACCAATCACGAGCCTGTGCTCATATTGCCTTTCAATTAGCGGAGCGGGAGTCCGCCACTAAAGCCTGCGGTTGCTGGGACGCGAAGGTAGTGGGAGCCCAAAGGGGCTTCGGTTGAAAATGCCCGGATGTGGCGTCGGTGTCTAGCAATGGAGGACGCAGCCTGCACTGCCAGGCATGGCGGAGTCCCTGCATGCTGCGCGCCCAGCGCCTTTCTAGACCCTACACTCCAGGCCTCATACACTCCCTTCCCTGTACTGCAGTCCCCACCGCTCCGCCTTCCTGGCCTCACATGGAAAGCAGACGCACCGCGCGGCTGGAGACCTGGCGATGAGCTCCAAGCAGTCCCTGATCGTCGGGGGGGGTGGGGGGTGGGTTAGGGCGGCATCGAAGACTGCACCGCTTGCCCGCTCTGGGGTGCTGGCCGGCCCGCTGCGGCATGGACGGCCCGGGCCCGTGATCCCACCTCTGTGGTGCACGGCCCTCCTTACCACAGGACTCAGGCAGAAGCCTGATCCTGTACCCTGAGACACCTCAGGCTCCTCCTAGAACCCCGAGGGCTGGTAGCACATTTTTCTCCTTAGTGCTCAGAGCCTGGAAGCGCCTGGGTGCAACCTACAAAACTGAACGTCCCAGTCTGGGCTTTAGAATTTTGTCTTGGTTCCAGTCTAACTGACCGAGTCATTGTTAGCATCACCTGCTACCACCATTGTTCAAGTGCCAGATAGTTTACAAGGGTCTTTAGATCCTCTCTCCCCTTCACCATCCTGCAAGGTTGGTACAGAACTGAACCCTCTTCTGACAAAGCTG